ATTTTGACTTTAACATTAACAGATAAGTGAATTTTATTTATTGCCGAGGAGACCCTTCAGATATTGGTATTTCGTTGGTGTCTAGATTGAAATCACACGGAAAGTTCGGTAACCCTTGAAATGTCACCACGGATGGGCGGATAGGTGGGCTGTTAGGTTACTCAGGCTACACGTCGGTCAAGGATATATAGCATCTGAAAGCGCGCAACAAAGTTTATGAAACGCGCCAGCTAGAACGATCAATACATGAACATCGATCAATTTCCGATTGTTGAGCATCGTCGTGAACATACTGCCTAACTGTTATCAATTGACTGTTGTATGCCAGAAAGGCGTATTTGCCATCAACAAAATCTTTGCATAACGGGTACGTAAATGCGGCAACAATACACATTCGGATACGTTGAGATTTTTATAAAAATTAAAACACATTTTAATTAAACGCAATATGGTAATTAATAGAAGCCAGCAAATAGTAGTAATTGATGATCAATTAATAAACAAATTTAATTCGAATAAGAAAATTTCAATCATTCTAAGTAAATTTACGAGGTCGTCAGATGTTTCCGCTTATGCCCCATTTAGTAGTACAAAAACAGTGTAAAAATGTTAAAACATGGGTTAAAATGAAGTTTTTGAAATTTTGACTTAAAAATGGTTACAAAGATTTTTTAATGCCATTTGTTAATATAATCAGTTTTTCTAATTTTCAGATCGAAAAAGTCATGTTTGTGATAAATTTCAGCTTCCTATGATAATTTTAGCTTTCATATCTATCTATCAGAGGAGTTTACATTGAATTTATTCTAATTTCCGGAAAGTTTCGTTCGAAATCCTTAGCGACTTCTTAAGTTGTTTTGAAATATATGCGTTTTCTTTAAAGCATAAGCAAATCATTTAAAAGACACCTTCGGTAGCAGTCAGCCTCACTTGGATTTAATAATATAATGAAGTGAATAATTAAATGAATAAACTAAATTGAACAATAATGCAAAATATTTCTAAGGAACCAAAAGTGTTTTTTGATCGATCTGTTTGTTATAAGAGGTTAGGATATAATTTTGGTACTTTATGACCCAAATATTTCAAGAATTCCATTAAGTGAGTATGGTATTTGCGCGAGTAATGTTTTAAGTCGTTTTCAAAATAGATTCTTCTATTCACTTTCAATAAGACCCGTATTTGGACAAAAACGTGTCCTTATATCAAATTTCCTTAGAATTCTTCGAATGCTGAGACTTACAGGTTGAAAACAGGCACATGAAAACGGTGAAGACGATTTAAATTTGATCCATTTCGTATAAAAGAAGATAGATGTCGAGATCGTTTTGGGTATTGTATACATGTGCCCAAACTTAAATTGCCACAATTAATGTAGAGTGTAAAAAACATTTTTGGGTTAGTAAAAATATTTTGACATTCCAGGCACATTACTCTGGTGGGAAAGATAATTTTTTAAAAGGGTCGCTCCAAATAGACGACTGTCGCTGCTAGATATTCTATATATCTCTGGCAGCTCTACATTACGATCATATATCCACGAGCGGTTTCCCTGATCATGAGAAGTGATTTGTCGCTTATAATATCTTCTACACCAAAAAGCTGGAGTAACGGGTAGCATTTGCCTGATAACCGAGTGATATTGTTGGGAGAGCTATTTGAAGATATACCAGCAACAACAGTGAGTTCGCCCTTCAGAGAAACGCAGAGCCATCCCGCTTATCACGAATGAGTGCCACGACCACGATGGATACCAGCAGAAGTATCTGTCTCCATTGTGCTCAACCAAGCTCGGCGGTTCGAATAAAACGTGGAAAATAATCTCTCGGGAGGGACAAACACGTGGAACGTTTCGAACAAGAGTCGGGTCGCTATCTGTATCTAACTGTAAATTCCTCGTAAGTAATAAATATATAAGAACGAAAATCCGAAGGTCCAAGAGTTTTTTTTTATATAAATTTTCTTGGAAAGGGACTTCCTGGGTAACCCTGAGTATACCCAGAGAAAAAGACCCGTTACAAGGGGCTTTTCGCTAAAATAAGCTTAAGAAATATGACGACAAAAGATCATTTTCTACCCCTTATGACGGAAATAAATGAAAAGAACGGTATCGAACGAGGTCATAACATATAAAATATATGCAAAACAAAAAGAACTGGCACGCTTTACTTCTGCACACTTTGCAACTGGCACGCTTTACTTCTGCACGCTGAATCATATGTTGTTAATTTGCTGAATTGAAGAAAAAGAAGAAAAAGACTTGCTTCAGAATTTTGTTTTCAATTCATTTAATATCAAAGAAAACGATTTTCTTCTATAATATCTTTGATAAGCTTTATTGGCTTGGTCCATTTTAATTCAACATCTGAAAAGAAAAAAATACCCTTTAACAAGCAAGCAAAAATCTCTTTCTTTCTGATGGAGGAGGTGGGCGAGTTATTTAGTTGCTTTAATGAGACAGCAGATATTAATATTACTGAGGAACTAATTTCGCTGGAAGAATTAGCCATGATCAAATCATTAAATGCTAAACAGCGGGTGATCTGAACAACACCAACGCAGCTTTATCCAATCAAAAATATCAGAAATTTAATGAAGAGTTCAAAGACGTAGATTGGTAACGGTTGACGTGACAATTAACCCTTCGTCGTCCTCCTTAACTATGACGACTGAGATTTTGCGAAATATGTTGTACCGTGGCAGTGAAATTTTGCGTGAAGTGGGATGGGCATTGTTCGATGAAATTCACTATATGCGTGACAAGGAATGCGGCGTAATTTGGGAAGAAACATTGATATTGCAGATGGGAAGAAACTGGTCAATGAGGCTTTCAACGATGCTTTAGACGTCCTATCGGAGGAAGATAGACAGTTGCCACAAGTTGAAAACGTGTTGCCGTTCCTACAGCGTGGTATTGGTATACATCGTGGTGGATTGTTACTGATAAAAATAATTGAACTTTTATTTAAAACACGTTTTCCCAAGGGCCCTCCACTTCCTCAATCCAATTACAGAAATGCATATTAAAGATGCAGGGTTTAAAAATATTGTCGACTCGATTTATAAATTCGAAGGAATACTTTTTGCTCATCCTCTACACAGATCTTTCAATTTGGACTGCGTGTACACCCTTTACAAAGGAAAGCTGAATGTGCTAGTGCAATTGAAAATTGTTAAAACCAAGTTAAAAGAGGCTCGCAGCCTATTACAAATGGACAGGTTAAAACACCATGAACGGGTTCTGCGACGCATGGAATATTGTTCTGAAGCTGACGTTATTGAATTCAAAGGGCGCGTGGCTTGCGAACTTAGCTCAGCGGACGAGCTATTAGTAACTGAAATGATATTCAACGGTGTTTTCAATGACTTGACACTCCGTAGACAGTGACATTGCTGTCGTGTTTATGCGATGAGAAATCTGTTGGAACCGTAAAATGTGCAAAAGAACTTTCCAGCCTTTTGCATTCTATGCAAGAGTTGGCTAAAAGACTCGCTAAAATCTCAACTGAATGCAAGTTGGAATTAGATGAAGAACCTTATATAGAGAAATTTAAACCATTTCTGTGGATGTGGTTTTGGCTTGGAGTAAAGGCGCACCTTTTCTTAGTGTATGTAAAATGACTGACATATTCGAAGGATCTATAATACGATGTATGCGTCATCTTGAAGAATTCTTGTGACAAATGTGTCACAAATGTGGCTTTATTATTTGACATCCAATCTGCTAAAGGTGTTCTATGAACATAATCCTAATGTGTTTTGTTAAACACTCCACTGCGGTTCACCGCGGAAAATTATGAAACGATTAAAGACCGCGACAGGCACTATAAAACATGTAAAACCAGTTAAAATGCTGTCAGTTGATAGGTTTCCCGTAAAATGCATGGGATCATATTCTCTGTGCTGGGACTTCAGTTTGCTAGAAAATTGATTTCGCTTGCAGTACGAATCATACTATCAATTTGCTTGTTAGATATAGAGAGAAATCCAGTCTAATTCCGAATATAGCTTTTACTCTCTTCTTCTTTTCGTTTATAACGTTCAATTAAATTTTGATCATTCTTTCTTTTTGATTTTATGCATTTTATTAATAATTTATTACTTTTCAATGTTTTTTATTTTCAAATCTAAATTATTTTTTGGTTTTGCTAAATTTAGATTTTATTTCCTATTTGATCTCATTGTCGGCGATATTTCTTTATATACATGTTTATAAAATTAAAATAAATTAATAAATTACGCTAGATAGAACGAAGAACGTATTTTTCCCTTAATTGTCGCATTTTTTTTTTGTTTTGGTTTTTTTCACTATGAAATTCATAAAAACTCTAATATTTTTTATATTACCCTTTTGATGACATAAGTAAAGAGTAAGGATAGATTTCATCTGTTCGGTTTCTTTTTTTTTTTTTAAATATGATTGCATTGGTTTTGAAGAAGGGAAGCTAAGAATATAGTTGTTTGGAAAGGGTTTCAAAGTGGTTCTGTTCAGTTTCACATAAAGATCTGGAGAAGTTTAAGATGTGGTCTGTGATGATTCATTTCACTAAATATAGAAATTTGCTGATGCACTTCAAATAACTTGCCCTTTTCTAATTTTCCTGACTATGTTTACAATGCTTTATAAATTTATATCATTATGCTTAGTGTGAATGCGTTAAGTAAATGCTACAACAAAAGAAAATTGCGTCTTTAAATGATTTTTACTCATTTCCTTTTTTCTTTGTAATGTAATTTTAATAGTTTTTGGTTCTTTTTTCTGGTTGATTGTTCTTCTACATAAACGAGAATATTTATTTTTAAATATTACTTTATTATTATATTTCTTTTTCTATATATATTTTCATTTAATTTTATCCAGTTTTATTGGATTCTTAAGAAATTGTCTACAAGTTTTCTACTAATTTTCATTTTGGTTTTTTATTAATATTTTATTTATTAAAAAGTAATAATAAATAAATTAAATTATATTTATAATAACAAAACAATTAATTTTTTAGAATATTTGTTTAAAATATGCATCAAATTATTATTAAAGAAAATTTTTCTAAAATAAATGAAATCAAATAATTGCGTAAAAGCTGACCAGAGATAGTTCAAAAGAAATTATTTTTAATTGCAAACAAGTAGATTACATTCGATATAGACCGAATCTTTTAATGTAGAGAACTTGCTTATTTCTTTCGTTAAGTAAATATCATTTTTAATGGGGGGTGACTATACTCAATTATGCCACCATAAAGATAGTGGCACCCTTTAGCTAAAAAAATATACGCGAATACATCTCATACAGTAAAATAGCGGCACGATTCTTTTTCTAAGAGTTAATCAATACATTTCTAATATTTGCATCCAAATTTTTAGTAGAGACCTCTTAGGCATGTGAGGGATTGTGAACTTGAATTTAATAGAAAGAATTTGAAAAAAACAGACAAACTTTCCTTTGATGAAATACATGTATATAAGACTTTTTTTTTTTAAGCATATGCAAGTCTAATATATCTAATGTTACGCCTATAATTGTGTAAAAGTGTAAAACAAATATATAATATCAACAAACAAATAAATAATTCTTTTATAAAATAGACACATAACGTTGATATAAAATGCACACGAAAAATCTAAAAACAATTCAACAAAAATATTTTTATGAAGAAAAACATACACGATACTTAGCAAAGTAATTAAAATTAAAAGTTAAATTTCTTTCTTAGAAAAAAGGAACGAATATTAAAATACAATTACAAATTAAACCTGATTTCTTATGAAACACACGAAGTTAAAAAACGCAATTATATCTAAGAATTTTAAAAAATATAAGTTCACTTAATGAGCGTATTTTCCCTTTTTTGCGTTTCTGAAGAAAGAAAAGCTAAGCGTAAAAGAACTATACCTCACTCTCAAAATCAAATGTTGCTTTATTTCTTTTAAACTTTAAATTACTCCGGACACCGTTTTCTCATAAGGTGTACCTAAGGTATCACGACGTCGTGGCAGAGTACCACTGGCTGTTAATGGAGCTGAATCTGGGCAACCTAGGCCAGTTAATAATTCTACTAGAGCTGTGGTCTCTTCAACGCTGTAGTGTGGGGCGGGTATGCCGCCATTAGTTGAAGAAGAACTTCCAGACACTGGTGGCGGGCCACCCATGCTGCTGTTAGTGGTAGTATTACTAATGGTAGCTGAGGATGATGCATTCGAAACAGATGATGAGGAGGATGATGTATTACTGGCGCTAGAATTGTTAGATGTAGCGTTGGACGCAGCTACCGCGGCAGCGGCGACTGCGGCTGCCTTTAATGACTTTGCTGTGGCCAACGATTGCGCAGCTTTAGCATAAGCCAAGCAAGTGCGTCCCTCATGATCAGTATGTTTTATATTGGCTCCGTTCTGTCGATTAGGAATGCCATGAGGATACTACTTTCTTTTTTTTAAACAATTTTCTTACCCATATTAACAATTGAGCTATTGCCAAGTTTCCAATTGCACAAGCCAGTAATAACGGCGTTCTTACATCCCGAGGACTGACGCTAGCGTTAGTGACATCGGCCGTGGCATTAGCCAGTACTAATACGATTGATTTCATATCCGATCTAAAACGAGGAAAGAAGGGTTTTAAGAAAACGTAATGAATCCCTATATTATAAAATAAATTTCAAACCTTATCACAGCTTCTATTAATTGCTGGCCTGGTGTAGCATTAAGACCGCCAGACGGTGGTAAAAATTCTTTTAACTCATATTTACTACGTATCCATACTTCCTTTTCTTCTCTCGATGAATTTGGTTTCGGTTTTTGGCGTTGCCTGGTATTCGATTCCCAAACGGAATTGGCCAAACTATTACCTATAGCTAACATAACACTCAAATGGCCAGGTCTAGACGCAAAAAAATTCAAATTATAGGGAAAAGATATTAAAAATAGTCTTCTATAATAAATAATATAATGAAATTTCACTATATTGCTTCGCTGTTTTAGAAAGGAAAGACAAAATCGTGTTAGTAAAGCAGAGAGAGAAAGTCCATAGTAAGTTAACTTAGACTGACTGCATGTCAGGGGTCAGATGTCTTTTCTAAAGATACAGAAAGTCCACATTAAGTTAGACAAGAACAAACACGTTCCCATTTCTAAGAGGTCGACAGGTCCGATGTCCCTTCTATCAATACAAGTTTTCAAACATAAATAACGTCCTGTCAAGAAGCTTACATTTTCTTCAATTTAAATTAGTACAGATCCGAAGTGGTTGGGTAGGTGGATTTCATCTTCGAGATGATTGCAAGACAAGTATAATGGCTTAAATGGTAACAAGGGTTTCTACTTTGGAATATATTTTGAGAAAAATGTAAATCCCTTTGTTTACTATTCACTTGGGATTAGATTCGTTTCGTATGACAACTCCCCCCACTTACGAGTGGTTGTCAATTATAACATCAGTTTTCTTTATTATGCGTTTGTATTTTTATATACTATATTTTTCGGACTATAAGATGCAACTTTTTGCATAGAAGAACGGACTCAAATTTTAGGTGCGTCTTATCGTCCGAAGATAACATTAAAATATGTTTTCAATAAATCGCCTCTAAATTTGGGAGTGACAACAATAGTCCAGATGAAAGTAATACGAACGGTGACATTAACGAGATGAGTGACAGTACCGGGAGTGAAGATAAACCGAATATTGCTAGTACGAGTTTTGTTAACAATAATCAATATGATCCGAAAGTAAGATTGAAATATATTTTTCTGGAAATCATTTTGAAAATATGCAGTGCGTCTTATAATCCGAAAAATACTGTAAATGTTAATTTAGGACAGAGAGCTATTTGTAAGAGTTCAAAAAAAATGTCGGTCTATTACAGCTCGATGCAAAGTAATGGTAATTATGCCAGAGACTGAGGAGACGAGTCACAGTACATACATTCTGCTTTTTATTTCATTCGTGCCTTTTTATAAATAAACGATCGCTCAACTTTGATATTTACATTCCCCATTCCTTCACTACGTGTTTATTTATTCGGTCGAAAGAAATTATGTTTTGTAAGTGAGCCAAAATTCTGAAAAAATAATTTACATCATTTCTTAGAAAACGTGGTAATGTTTCATATATTTGGGAAAACTTTCGTGGTTTTCGCTATGTAAAGTGGATGCGGCGATATAAAATGTAATGGTGCATTGTGGTCTTTTCGAATCTAACAAGACGATTGGCCTTAATTTCTACTGTCAAAACCAAATGGATTTAAGCACGCAATTGTTTAAAGTTGACCAGTCAAAAGGCTGCCCCCTTTCATCATGCCGCTGCTAAACTACACATATTTTAAAAATTAAGAGAACTTGGCTTGGAAGAAGAGCCTAGTCAGGACTTGGATTATAATTTGTTTCGATCTATGTGGAAACTTCTACTATGTGTAGTTCACTTAAAAGAAGCCTGTGGAAATGACTTGGTTCAGGTTTTCGTTCAGGATTCCAAGAAGTTCTATAGTGCTGGCATAATGGCAGACAAATGACAAAAAATTCGATCAAAATAGCATCTACCAGATTTGACAAAGTTACTTGAAAGCATGGGAAAAATATCTAGTCCGAAAGAGCTACGGAGTTTCCCCCTTATCTAATGTTTACTTGAAAAGTATAAAAAAAATTTGTTGCGTTTGAATTTTAAACAATACTTACGGCCAATCATCTAAGCCCAATGAACGAACTTTGGATATATGCGAACCCAAGTTGCGATGAATTCCTGAACACTCAATGCACATTAAGACACCCAAATTTAAACTGGCCCACTCCGGATCTGCAGGTGAAAATTAAATGACATTGAAGTTTTTCCTTTTTTAAATAAAATTTTACCTCAAAAATAATTAAAACTGAAAAATAAACTGACACGTTTTACTCACTTGGGGCATCACAGTCTACACAAAAACCATTGCCTGGCACACGTGTACGTATCGTTACCATTGAAGCCAACTCGCTAGTAGTAGCCGGTTTCATTTTCGTGCTTTCTATGCTTTGCAGACTTTTGAATATCTCCTGTTCAATAGCGGCCACCCATTCGTCACGTTCTTCAGAGTTTGCCGCCTCAAAATGCCATTGTTTCGAGTCCAAAGACACTATATAGAATTCATAGCCATCTGAATCATCAATCTCATTTGACTTCACGCTACTACTTTTCATACGTCTGTGACGTTTTTTCACATTTGGGGTCTGAGAATCAAGCTTATTGGAGGCATTAACAGACAATAGTTCGCGTTGCGAGCTTTCCACTGAGCCTGCTATAAATGTTTGGGAATTGGAGTTTGACATGGCAATGCCTTCATCACCACTTGTTTGTTGAGAAGAGTTGGATTTAACTCCAGGTTCTTTCAACGTCTCGAAAGCTAAAATATGAAAAATAGATTTACGAAAATAAATGAAAATATATCGATCGGTACTTACCGTTATTGGTTGACAACATGGATGTGGTTAAAGCACTGTTAGTTATTATAGATTTAGAGCCTCTGGGTTTCTGACCGGGTACTTTAACTGTAACATATTGAAGCGGTATTTCTTTACCGTGTATATCATCCATATAATCATGTAGAGAGGGATGATAAGTGAGACGGCCATCATCGCATAATGTAACGTATTTCTTTTTCCATTCTTTATTTAATGACTTACTCGATCTTTTGTACAAGTAACCTTGCTTAATAGGAATAGAACGACCACTACCCAGTTCACCATTTTTTAAATCCTTTTCACCCTTTTTCGAAGATGATGGTATAAAAAGGTTAGAGCGACGTCGCGATTTACGACTGGCGGTAGGCGTTGATGTAGGAGTTGGCAAATCCTTACCTCCACTACCTGGATTAGTATCTTTATCACGCAAAGGCACTAGCGACAAAGGAGCTAATTGCTCACTGTGCAAATTATTACTACCTCCATTACCGCCGCCGTTGCTGCTGTTCTGTACACCGGGATTGTATTTTGTAACGTTGTTATTATCATTGCTTAGGGAAAAATCGCGGTCACGGTTGCGGTGATGTTCACGTAGTTGAACGTGTTGTACGCATTGATCCGGTTGCGCTTGCTGTTGTTGCGATTGCCAAACTTTTTGACTATTGCCCGGAGGAGGTAAACTATGTTGCTGTTGTTCATTGTGTACAAAATCAGCACTTATACGCATTGGTATGTGATGAGTGGAACTCGATAGTACGTGGTGTCTGTGCGGTAAAGATAAATTACTGTTTGACGCGACTACTCCCTGTGAGTTCGCTGAGGTATTGTTCGGGATGGTTGATGATGAAGGTGAGAAACCATTCGCATTGGTGCCATTCTGTGCGGTTGATGATGAGCCGTGATGGTACGAGGCAATACCCAGGCGGGTACCTTGTGGGGTTGTGGGTCTCGAGGTTACGTTGGCGGGTAAAGGTAGGCGTTGGGATAAGATTTTTTGGCAAGCTAACAAAGCGTGAAGAATAAATATTTGAACAACATTTTTTTTGTTGTTATATGAAAATGGAAGAAGCTTACCATCTTGGAAAACTCTTTCCACATTCAGGCCATAAGTAGCACATGTTTCATAGTAAGAACAGCGTTTTAGGTCGGCAGCCAATTTTCTTGCTCTTGAATCATCGATGACTCGAGGATTGCGCTCGCTGATGGCATCTTGAGTTCCTACTAAAATCATGGGCAGTTCTTGGCCGTTACGGAAATGCGCCATTTTCGTATAATAGTTGTAAACTGTATTAAAGCTGGATTCGTTTTCCAAACTAAACACGAATATGACTGCATCTACCCAAGCAGCAAACTGTGAACAGGAGTGAGAATGGAAATATAGAAAAAAAAAAAAAAAATTTAAATAAGAAACGGTTTTAAATTAAAAAACATAAAACACAAATCCTTGACTTTGTAAGAAATCCATAAACTTGACAGAAAGCAAGCAGTGCAATACAATAACAATGAAATGCGACAATAAGGCGTTGTGTTTGGAAATTTTTCCTCTTTGAACAATTGAACAATAAAGAAAAGGTGACATACGTATGCATGTGTGCGAGAAATTGGAGAAGGGTAAATTCAACTTTTTAGAAAGTGAGCTTAGTGAAAATTGCGAATATTTTTGTGGCCGAATAAAAATCAAATGATCTAAAGGTTTTAAGAAAAAAATTAAGTCCTCAGTTCAAATCACATGTTATCAAAGCTCCTGCTAGTGAAGTACAAAGTTGAAAACGATTTATTTTAACACACAGGATAATGAACTTTTCGCATCAAATTCCTAACAGCATGTATATATAAAAAATAATATTTTATACCTTTTATTGTACAAAGCAACGATGAGTAGGCAAAAGAAAAAGAAAATATTGCATGAACACAGGCAACAAATGCATATAATTTCTACGGCATTCTGCGCAGGTTTATTCTGGCGTCAGATTAGGCGAGTGAAAAGGAGAGAATGCGTAGGATGAATTTTTAAACAGAATTACTTACATTTCTGCTAAGTATATAAAGACTATTTTATTTTGTTTTTTTTTTTTACTTTCTGTCGAAGATATTCTTATCGCTCTATTTAAAGCTAATTAAATAAATATTTTCGAATTATTTTAAATTGTTTACAAAAAACTTCTGCGTTTTCACTTTTATGCGTCTCTCCTCTATGCTGGTTTAACATAAACTGTTTTATTCGTTTTACTGGGACCCCCCATTAAGTTTAGCCAACATAGCCGAGGTGGTTGTTGTTACTCCCTTTTTTACCCTTTAGGAGTATTCACATAAGCGTATATGTGCGCAGCCATTAAAGAGATATAGGCCTCCATCTCTTACTCGAGAGTGTGTTTGTGGCGGCGTAAAAGCCATGGAAGCCTATATACTGATATATGCACACAAATGCCGGTTTTGTGCGTGCGTGTGCGATGTAAAAGCATTATTACATCATACTTACACAATATTATTTGGCTGCTATCACCAATACATGCACGCAGTTATAGAAAAACTTGGTATAGCCTTTGTGTCTCACTGTCGTCAGTCTGGCGTCTCATAGAAAGCCATCCACAGTCGAATGAATTCTACGGTAACAAACCATTTTAAAAGTGTGTATGCATAAGCACAGCTGAAAAGTATGCTTTATTTTTCTTTCTCACTTTAGCAGTTGTCTCTTCATAAAGTATTGTTGTATACAGCTTGAAGGTCTTTTTTAAAGATATACGATTTCTAACGGCATGATTAGTTAATCATATTGCTTTGGTACTTTATTTATGATTTAATTATATTTCTAAGCAATTTTATGGTCGTTTACTAAAAGAAAGGTACAACGCATTTTATAAAATTCAGACAAGCCCGTAGCGGGTATTCTGGTGGGTAGGGAACTGATGCTTAGATAGACAACAAGTCGTGGACTGAAATAAGATTGGTCGGCAAGAGCGATGTTTGGATGAACTCGCGCATATCAATTGATCTCTCGCAATGTTTTTGAAGGCCGGTATCATAACACATAACCGAGCATAACCATGCTGAAAATTCATTCTATCATATCGGCGCTATTTTACCTTTTTTATAGCATTCCCAAGTGACTGTTTAGCTGAGTCAATTGGAGCAATTACAACAAATTACATCCCAATGATTTCCCAAATGGGATATTTGGTTTCACTCTCAATGTTAATGGTCTACCTTGTGCCTGTGCTTTGAGTTATTGTATTGTGTGCATTTTCCAATTATTCGTGGCTATTCAGCAACACTTTGCTTCGCATTAAAAAGGAAAGATAATGTTCCTCATTGATAATTTTTTCTTGTCCCATATCTCCATTTCAAATCCTGGCGCTTCCATTCCATTGAGATAATTTACTCGGTCGCTTAACACCTAAAGAACGTACTTTCACGTGCATAAGTGACGGCATTATATAACACAATAAGGTATTAGAGTTAACTCTTGCCTTGAAAATATGCTTAACGTTATATGTATATGATGTTCAGGATATTGCAGAGAGGGAGTTTGAAATAAAATAGAGTCGGAAATCTAAAAAAAAAAAAAGAAAAACAGTTTTGCGAAATGGATTTGAAGCTTTTAACTATCGGTGAAGAATGTCTCTAATTCGTTTAAAGTGTCTTTTTCAACTGCCCACGCTTTTTGACATATTTTGAAGGGTAATATTAAATAGTCATGTTATTTCATTATTGTTGACAGCTGCTTATAATTGTCATTGTTACACAAAATACACAGAAAGAAACATCGGAGATTACTCAAATTTAAAGAATTTGAGATGTTTGAAGTGCGAGATAGAGCGGACGTATTTGAAGATGCTAGCTGGTTTCAATGAACCTGGAAACATTCCAATTAATTACATGGAAAATAAAATCAATACTAGTGTGTAGCGAAATGCAGGTTCGTTAGATTTGCCGTCTTCATTATAGAACTTAAAAATGGATGAACTACGCCAATCCCTCAACAAATGTGATGGCACCGTTTGTTGGAGCGTTCAAAAACTAAAAAATTTATGATTTGCTTAACAAGGTAGAGAATAAAATTAAAAATTGAAAATAGCGTAAACAATATTTGCGAATTTTATGTTAAAATGCAATGAATCTATATTTATTATAAAATATCGGCAAATAATTTTCGGGAAGAAGCAAATTAAACGTTTTTTTCCTAAGATTAAGTTTATTCATCAGCATAGGCTCCTTAAAGTATACTAACGTTAATTCAGGGTCTCTTTACACTTCGATGCCTTATTTAACAAGACTTTTTAAGAATCATAGCTTCAGTTTCTATAGTGATTTTATTAGTTGATCGGAATTTTTGTCCCTAAAGCCGGCTTATGAGGTTTACGAACAGATAATAGTAGTTGGAGTTAAAATCTCGAAATAAGTTGGTCAGGTTAACAACACCACCTGCCGTGCGTTTTGTAGTGTGTTTGTTCCACTGTGAGCGGACGTAGTGACCATTTGGAAAATACCTTTCTCATGTGTAAATTTTGGCGTGATATAGTCAATATACTGCATTTTCATATATTCAGAATGTCAGTTATCTCTTGCAACTTGACATTTCGATTTAATCTTTATGATTTTTTTGATGCTTTCTGGTGTAAACATCTTTTTTGGGTTTCCATTATTACCACCGTCATTGGCGTCCATACAACATTGTTCAATATTAGCAGATTATCGAAAAATTGTTTTTTTTAACTAAATACACTGGAGAATACAATAGTTCTATTCGGTTGTGGTCGTGGATTGCCAATACAACTATAAGGGCAGTGTTATAACGCACTTCAAACTGATGCTAAAAGACACGAAATTCAGATTTTCCATCGGTGTGAAAATAACAAAAATGCCGTCATATAAGGCAGAACATTTTGACGGACGTTTTTTAAAAACTAACGTGAGTTAGAGATGACGTCGATATGTTAGTCTCTGTCATTATTGATCGACTTGATATGCATACCAACAAAAAGGGTATAAAAATACTTTGTGTCAATTGTCTCGATACACAAAGAAGGTGTGGTAGGCTGTTATAGCGACATAAGAAGTATAAAAGTACTTACCATATATATTGCATCGTCCAATAGTAAACCACAGAAATCTCAAATGGTTTAGATAGAACGTATTTAATCAATTTTCTGAAAATGTTAAGTTTCTGATTCAATTTAACCATGTGTAACAGCTTTCCCAAGTGTCCTTTCTCTTCTCTGGAGACAGTCAAGCATATAAAAGTTGATATTCGCTTATACCAATTGGAACCTCAATTCGACATTGCAAAATATATATTGCTTAAAGCTATTTTCAAAGGAATTTCACAATACACTGTTACTCATACCTTTGGTATCTTTCAGTGCAATGTATTCTCGGAAGGGTGATTTAACTTTAATTGTGAAAAAATTAATTAATTTAAAAATTTAAGGGGACTGAATCAATTAGCGATCTTAAACGCTATGGCTGTCGTTCAACACGAAACATGGAATCGGTTTGTGAGCGCAACGTTGAGAATCCAGGGACACATACAAACTCTGTGTAGCAAACTTTGTGTACAGTTATACCTTTTCTCGGGGAAAGACAAGTAGTACTACTAAGGAGAAGCCAAGAGAAAGCAATTTCGCATCAAGATAGCATATACAAAAGAATTATTCCACTATCGGTTATATTTCTTGTATCTCTGTGGAATCGTTTCCCTAGTGTGAAGATTTTTAAACACTTCATGTTACGCTTTATTCGATTTCCAATATTAAAATTTCCTTATTATTATTAGCGTTTCACTAAAACTGTGAGTAACCGTCATTTTTATGTTGTGTGTATTCCATACTTTTCTCTCTTAAAGTTAGTTCTCATATAAATCACATATTTTTCAAGATTATGTAAAAAAAAAAAAAGAACAAATAAAGAAATATTTATGGAAACATGCAAACAAGCTTATTTCTTATGTTTGTATTGTACAGCTATACGCCCCCTGTTTCTTATATAACATTCAAAGCGAAATAAATTTGTTGACGAGAGTGAGAACTCTTGGCATAGGAAAACCACCAATATAAATGCCAGTAACTTTAACATCAATTTTCAACGTAAAGAAAAACTACTGACACGCGTCTTGCCTGCGTCACCATTAAAAAGCATACACGAATATAATTGTTACGAGGCAAGTCCCGGTTTAAAGAGGCATGTGTGCACTTTTTCAAGTGCCAACAAGTCTCAAGAACGTATAATGATGATGTTTTTGCATTATAAGTCAGCGAAAGGCTTAAGTATGAGAAAAACACACAGCTCAACATGTTTCTATATGACATTTGAAGTTAGAAAAAAACTCAAACTTTGGGGAAGAGGGCCTTGGTT